AAAATTACTATAGAGATGAAGAAAGAGATCATTGCTAAGTATGAAAGTGGAGTGCGTGTCTCCGAGCTGGCCAGGTTGTATAATAAACCCCAATCAACCATCGCTACTATTGTGGGCAACAAAACGGCAATCAAGGAAGCTGTTCTTGCCAAAGGTTCAACTGTGTTTTCGAAACAGAGATCGCAAGTGATGGAAGATGTTGAGAGACTCTTATTGGTATGGATAAATGAAAACAGATAGCAGGAGATAGCATCTCTCAAGTGATCATAAGTGAAAAGGCTAGGAAGTTGCATGAGGATTTAATTAAAAAAATGCCTGCAACTAGTGATGATGTGAGTGAATTTAAGGCCAGCAAAGGTTGGTTTGAGAGATTTAAGAAGCGTAGTGGCATACATAGTGTGATAAGGCATGGTGAGGCTGCCAGTTCGGACCACAAAGCAGCTGAAAAATATATGCAGGAACTCAAGGAGTACATAGACAGTGAAGGACTGAAACCTGAACAAGTGTTTAATTGTGATGAAACAGGCCTGTTTTGGAGAAAATGCCAAGCAGGACCTACATTACTCAGGAGGAAAAGGCACTCCCAGGACATAAGCCTATGAAAGACAGGCTTACTCTGTTGATGTGTTCCAATGCTAGTGGTGATTGCAAAGTGAAGCCTTTATTAGTGTATCACTCAGAAACTCCCAGAGCGTTCAGGCAAAAGAATATCCTCAAGGCTAATTTGTGTGTGCTGTGGAGGGCAAACAGTAAGGCATGGGTCACTAGGGACTTTTTCTATGACTGGTTACACCATGCATTTGCCCCCAATGTGAAAGATTACTAACTGAAAAGAAATTAGACCTTAAGTGCCTCCTGGTGTTAGACAATGCCCCTGGTCATCCTACAGACGTGGCAGAGTGACTTTATGGGGACATGAGCTTCATTAAGGTGAAGTTTTTGCCTCCTAATACCACTCCTCTCCTGCAGCCCATGACCAGCAGGTTATTGCAAACTTCAAAAAACTGTACACAAAAGCTCTGTTTGAAAGGTGCTTTGTTAGTGACCTCAGAAACTCAATTGACTCTAAGAGAGTTTTGGAGAGATAACTTTTAATATCCTCAATTGTGTTAAACCTTATAGGTAAGGCTTTGGAGGGAGTGACTAGAGGACCTTGAACTCTGCTTGGAAGAAACATGTGGCCAGAATGTGTACACCAAAGGGATTTTGAAGGGTTTCAGGCTAAACCTGAGAGGAGTATGCCAGTTGAGGCGATCCATGTGGGCATTGGGAAAGTCCTTGGGGTTGGAGTTAGTGGGGATGATGTGGAAGAGTTGGTGGAGGAGGACAATGAAGAACTAACCACTGATGAGCTGCTAGATCAACTTCAACAGCAAGAGGCCAGACCTGAGGGAAACTGGATCGGGAGGGGAGATGGAGAGAATTGAAGAGTTGCCTACTTCAAAGATTAAGGAAAATGTGTGGGAATGTGGCTTAAAGTGCAAACCTTTTTTGATGACAATCACCCTAACACAGCTATTGCAAGCCGTGCTGGTGACTATTACACGACACTGTTGTGAAACACTTTAGGGAAGTCATAAAGGAACGAGAGGTACAGGCCACGTATGGACAGATATGTTGTGCGACAGAAGTCCAGTGACTCTGAAGCTCGTCCTAGTGGCATTAAAAGAAGAAGGGAAGTAACCCCAGAAAAGGACTTGACACTTCAAGTCTTAATGGAAGGGGATTCCCCCTCTAAACACTAAGACTCTCTCCTCCTCCCATCCCATCAATCATTACCAGATCTTCAATAAAGGTAAGTGTCATGTAACTGTGCATGTCTTTTTCAGTTTGTGTGTATTAAAATTAATATTTCATGTGGTAAAATTTTTTTTTTTCATACTTTGGGGTGTCTTGCATGGATTAATTTGATTTCCATTATTTCTTATTGGGAAAATTCATTCGCATAACGATAATTTCGCATAACAATGAGCTCTCAGGAACGGATTAATATCGTTATGCGGGGGTCCACTGTACTACATTATTTATTGACAACAGTTCACTAAATGAACTATTGCCAATAAATAATGGTGAGTATATTTATAGCACTTACATAAATAAACTATTTATATCAACATTCGTCATATAAGGCAGAATTATTTTACCGTATTCACAAAAAAATGTTTTTAATCCAACAGGATAATTATCCTTAACATATCAATTTATCTACTGTATACCTATTTACTCATCTGTTTACCCATCAAATCTCGTGTACCCTGTACTTTCACTGTGAAGAAGGTCATGCTTACTGCTACATAACATTTTACTCATTTCAGTTCTGGACTCTAAGTGAGACACTCAGCACACCCCGACTCTTAAAAGATTTATTTAAATAGTACAAAATACTTTATTCACTTAATCCTATGCATCCTGAAATTTCAATCTGTATTTGTTAATAGCAACTTCACTATTTGTTATATGAGCTAAAGCATTGAATTTCAAAAAAAAAAAAAAAACTTATGTCATATGCAAGTATGTTCCATGAAACTAAAGCCTACTGTTATCACTAAAATGTTGCACAATGTCTTTGTTGCATGAATGCTATCTTCTACTGGATTGCCCACCTTCTTCAAGAATGGAGTCTCGATGCTAGTGATGGGCTTTTGTTCCAAGAAGCTAGCACTACCCTCTTCTTCCTCAGAATAAACCTGATGCCTTTCTCCTACCTAGATGCTGCATGATCACAAGAATTTAGAATGTGGGAGATATACTAATGCAGTGCTGCTAGCCTTCTGTTTTAATTCTGAGCAATAATGCTTGATGATTTAGTGACCGGTTAGCCTGACTCAAGTCTGGGAGGCGGGAAGGACAGTATCTGCACTCTAAAAAAGGGGTGGGGATGTTGCAGCAGAGGGTAATCTATCTGAATTATGTCAGTACTCTTCAGGTAAGACAATGAGTGAATGAATGATGGCAAATGTTTCCTTCTTTATATCACCCTGCCTTGGCAGAAGATAACAGTTGAGGTAAAAATAACTTAAATTAAGAAAATTCAATAAAAATTCTTACTTTTTGTGAAAACTGGTATGCTACAGCAGCTGTTACATCTTTTTAACACAGCAAACTGGAGTGATGGGGGGGACACAAAAGAGGGTTT